TGTCCTTGTCATTCCTTTCCACGTCTCGAAGGTGTTCTCGGAATCGGTCACCTAGTCTTCTGCCTGTTTCGCCGATGTATATCTTTTTTATACATCGGCTAAACAGGCAGATTAGACTAGGTGACCGATTCCGAGAACACCTTCGAGACGTGGAAAGGAATGACAAGGACATATCCAAACCAGTCGCTAGACATTTTAATTTACCTAATCATTCTAAGCAACATATGGCAATCTGCGGTCTTTCCTTGCACATAGGTGGCACGGAAAGCCGTAAAAATCTTGAACAAAAGCTCATCTTTCAAACCGGCAGTCTAAATCCCACAGGGATCAACGAATGCTTTTCATTCCACTAATTTATTCATGTTTTTCTCGTTGCCATGCTCCCACCAATAGCGTAGCTCCATTTTCTGCCTTTAAAAGCACACAAAACCCACAGTTCCTCTATTCGCTCCGATGAAGGGCTAACGCTCGAAACGTCAGCTTTTGTAATCATTACGGTGGCCAATTTACCATTTCAACTTTGTTGATATATCCAAATTAATCAATTTAAAGGTTGCTTTTACCTGGCACAAAAAGATCTTGGGTAGTTTCTTCTGAGCTAGCAGGAACAAAGTCTGTGTCAGTTGACATTTCACCTGGTACCTTCTGGTTGAAGAAAATAAAGCCAAAAATGAATTTTATTTTGAAAAAGGAAGGAAGCCTGGCCACAGTAAAAATGACATGTACATAATACTTATATTACTATTACTTCTAGAAGTAGAAAACATTTAAACTTCAACATTTACAGTGTAATGCAGCAGCAGCAAACATGTTCACTAAACATTAAGTACAAAAACAATCGTTTTTCCGATACTTGTTGATTTACATCTGCATTCACTTCAAACACATAACATCATCTGTAACAGTCGTACCCATGTAGTTTTGTGAGCATGATTCTTTATTTCCCTTTAACTTCAATAGTATAGAGTCAAAAAAAAAATTATGCATTCAATTAATAATCTATGTTCCTGCAAGTATTTATTACAGCTTTGCAAATAAGCGTCATATCTCACCTCAGCTGGGTGACCATACAATGATGCCAGGGGTATTGGTATCCCTAATGATGCAACAAAGAACATGTACATGTAGATAATACATTTGCAAAGAATTCTAGAGGTGGCCACAGAATATACTCATGTGTGTGGGCAATTAACTGCATTATGATTTCAGCTATTTGAATAAATATATTAATAGTCAATGACTGAATTAATTAATTTATAATTACAAATACATATTTTCACCCCATTACATTTATGGTTTATAGTGTACTGTAAACCAATGTATATTTTGTGCAGCACATGTTGAGAAAAATATTGCAGCCTTAACACTTTGGCACTGGTCTGAGACGCATGCAGTTTCTTTGACTCTTCAACACTAGTGCTGTTGTGAGGTCCTATCATGCACATTATCTAAACAATAAAGTTTCAAGTTTATATACTGGTAAGTGACTACTAACTTTTCATTTTAATTAATACATATTCCGCTTCTTACTCTTCACCACATGTTTTGTTATGGAATTGTTTAACACAATCTGACACTTGCCAGTTTTGAGTAAACTTGTTTACAAAGGTTCAATAAATTTACAGTGCCATGTATTTGATTTGGTTTTTCAAAAATACATTTGCAAAAGAACAGAAATTGTCATGACTTAGATACAAGAACATATAATTTTCCCACAATGTTATAACCACATTAATTTTGTTTAAGAAGAATTTGGAACACAACAAAATTTTACTATCATATCCAAAGTGTACAGCCCAATAACCATGTCCCCACACGTATTACTAAAAGAAGAAATGACCTAAAACCACTCACAACCACCTACAACCATCTAAAACCACCTACAACTGTTACGATAATGTAGAAACGGCCTTCCGGAAGTCAACATTTACTTTTCTCTTTGACAAGCTAAGACCGTTTTTGAATGTCGGTCAGCTGATCTTTCTTATGTAGCCCTTAAAGGTTATGTAATCTTCAAATGTTATGTAACTTTCTGGACTGATTATGTAATCACTTCGGACATTCCAATCTAGTTCACAAGTTACATGAGTGAACATTGAGATAGTGAGTCGTTGTCATGTTGTTGTTTATA